CCGTGCGGGACGGGACTGAGCCACCGAGCCGGGCTGTACCGTGCGGGGCGGGACGGGACTGAACTGAGCCGGGCTGTGCCGTGCGGGGCGGGACGGGACTGAACTGAGCCGGGCTGTGCCGTGCGGGGCGGGACTGAGCCGAGCCGGGCTGTGCCGTGTGGTGCGGGGCGGGACTGAGCCGGGCTGTGCCGTGCGGGACGGGGCGGGACTGAGCCGAGCTGGGCTGTGCCGTGCGGGGCGGGACTGAGCCGGGCTGTGCCGTGCGGGGCTCGCACTCCCGGATCATTTACACCTGTCTGGATTCGGTATCGCACGGCTCAGCCGCCAGTTCCCTGGCTCCCTGCGGGCGGTCGCACCCACCACCATGTCGGCTCCTGCTACAAATCCCAGCCTGAACTCTAACGCCATGTCTTTCCCAGCTCCTCGGATAACCCTACCTCTGGGGATCTCGGTTCTGCAGACCTACTCCGGAGCTTTCATCTGTTTAGAGATTGTGAGTTAGCACTTGTTCCCAGGTCTGCAACTTAGGGGCTGGTCACTGACGCCGAGACTGCCTGCTAACATTGGTCTTTCTGTTTTGCCTACAGTTGTTCGGAGGTTTGGTGTGGATTTTGGTCGCTTCGTCCGATGTGCCTGTGCCTCTGATGCAAGGCTGGGTGATGTTTGTGTCCGTCGCTATGTTCTTGTGTTCCACGCTGTACCTGTCCCTGTACCTGTGCGGCCTGGTTGACCGACTGGATACAGACTGGAATCTAGTTGTGAGTAAATGTCGCTGTCACTGAGTAATCGCAGTTTATCCCAATACCTAGTCAAAGTCTTCCGCCCTGGGCATCATCAGTGAAGGTGTAGCCCGGATCCGACTGGTAAAAAATTCCCTTTCTGGGGGGGAAAATGTAGCTATTCGGTAAAGTCTTAAAAACCCCGCAGTTTCGAAGGGAAGCTACCTGTTGTTTTTCATCTTTTTTTGTTTTCCCCTACAAGGTAGAGCAGTCTGTCGGTGTACAGTGGTATTGCAGGCAGCTGGAGCATCTCCAGACTGATTTTGCTCGGATTTGTAACTGCCAGTTTCAGAATCTGAACTAAAAATAACAATGGGAATCTGTAACGACGCAGATTATCGATTTGGTAGACTTTTTTGCTTCGGGTCTAATCCTTCCTTGTTAGAGGAGATGCTGCAGCACACAAATGGACGCCATGAAACAGGCTTTTTGTCTCCACATGAAGCTGCCTTCTCTGATTGCAGGAGAGAAATCTGATCCTTCCTGTTGCTCTCTCTGTTACTGAGGACAATTTTATGCCTCAGTAGTTACCCCAGCTGGAATAGCTGAAAGCCTGAGACTGATTTTTATACATCAGGTCATTCTTGGGAATTATATCTGGATGTATCTGAGATATTCTAATGATGCCATGCCATTATTTACCACCACCTTAACTTCTCTGCCTAAAAGCCAGAAGGACGCTCAGCACCATAACCTGCACTGTTGGTAGGTGGAAGAGACGTTCACGATTAGTATCAATGCTAGTTGGAATGGCGATAGAACCCTGCACTGGTGATATAAATCTGACACACATTAGTCAGCCAGCCAGTTGTTAGCATGCAGATACAGCATTTGTGCACTTCCAAAAAAAAACTCAAAGAACTGTGGTCTTACTCAAAGTCTCCTGGCATGAGACTTCTACTTGCTATAAACTTGCACTCATCTAAAACACTATTGCTCATTCTAACCCACAGCAACTTTCATTGCGCTGCAGGGATATGTTAGCGCAGTGGCCATCTTGTTGGAGGAGCAAAATACTGCAGTTGCTGGAATCTGTACTGAGAACAACAAATGCTAGAGATCACAGCAGGTCAAACAGCATCCGTGGAGAGAGCAAGCTAATGTTTCAAGTCTAGGTTACTCTTAGTCAGCTCTGAGTCATCTAGACTCAACAATAGCTTGTTCTCTCCCCATGGATGTCATCTGACCTGCTGTGATCTATAGCATTTGTTTGTTTCCAGGCCATTTTATTGGACTAGCGGTCTAAAGGTCTGGATTAATGACCTGGAGTGAGTTCAAATTTCATTATAGCGGCTGTGGAGATATAAATTCAGTTAATTAAGTAAATCTAAGTAACTAATTAAGTAACTGCTACTTTTCACTGAATTGCTATGGCGATATACACTTTTATGTGCATATCATAGACAAGAACTTTGAATTCTGATGGTAAAGACTTCAATTTCCTTTTACACTAGCTGCTCAGGAATCTGGCCCAGTCTTAGTGTCTGCATTACTGAGAGTGGAAAAGATTTACAAGTTGATATTCAATCTGTTTGACTGTATTATGAAAATCCCTTCCTTGGCTATTGAGTTCCACAGTGAAACTTGAACCCAGAGCCACTGTTCCTGATGCGTCTAACTGTATAAAAGGACATCCCTTGTGTTTATATGTTTTTAATGTACTTAAACAAGCTAGGTGCTTTGCATAAGTGTCAAGCTAAAACAATAACCTTAGGTGGTATTCAAACATTTGATGTTTTATGTAAATTCTTGAAGAGGCCATGTGGGTTGGACATATGTTGCCAGTGCAGATGTGAAAGGTTAATATCGTAGTAGGAGGTAAGCAAGGTTCTTGAAGGGTTGTAAAACTAGGGGTTACAGAAGTAGGGAAGGTAAAGACCAATAACCAGTACAGATGGTCAGAGATGACATTTCTATTTTGTGTAATGTAGGTGTTCCTGTGAGATTATCATTTATTGCCCATCCCAAATTATCTTTGAGAATATTGTTATGGCTTGCCAGACCATTTCTGCAGATATTTAAGTGTCTGGTGGCACAATTGTTTAGAGGCACATTTTTACCAAGACAGTTATGGAAGGCAAACTTCCTTCTCTAAACATCATTAGTGAGTAAGATGTGTTTTATGACATACTGGTACTTGAGGTCACTATTTCTGAGATTTCATTTAAGTAAATCTGGAATAAAAATGGATTTTTATTCCCTACCCTCCCCCATTCCCCTGGCTGCTGCAATGAGATTTGAACTCACTCCAATCGTTAATCCAGGCCTTTGAATTGCTAGTTCAATATAGTCAGTGTGGACTCAGTGGGCCAAATGGCTTGCTTCCACACTGTAGGAATTCCATGATTTTATGATAGCCACTGCACTACCATATCCCGAGAGCTGAGTGAGTTGCTGTGGGTTAGGATATGAGCAGTAGAGTTTTAGATGAGTTCAAGCTTATGGCAAGTTGAAGTTTCAGGCCAGGAAACTTTTGGTAAGACTGTAGTATTCTCTGATGGCATTTTTGAAGTGCACAAGTCCTGCATGATAACATTTTGCAATCCTTGTACAAAGTGCACCCAGGTGTTTCTGAATATTAACATTTGTAAGTTCCTTTTTTTTTTCCTTTGAAAGAAAAATCTTATGACCAAAGTGGATAACCTCTCACTTCTTGAGAGGTTCATCTTCATCTGCCAACTTGTTGTCCATTCAAACGTGTATATCTCTTTGCAGCCCTTCTGTCCTCCTGAATTCCCAACTAACTTCATTATCATCAGAAAACTTGGACAAAAAGATAACAATGTATCTGTCATTAAAGTTATAAATAGATGATTCAGTTACTTAGCTGTGCTAGACAGCTAACATGAACCACATAAATGTGACAGCCAACAATCCCTATTCCCTGCCTCTATCCATTTATCTTTGTACTAGCTTTTCTACGCCTGTACTAGCAGGCGTGTACTAGCTGAAATTCGGCGAGCAACAGGTTGCTGATTTTTGTGGAGTTGTGACCAGTTGTGGATGCCAAAGTCCATGAGCCTGAAGACAGATCTCTGGTTCCTAGGTAGATGAGCAGCTTGTGGGTGTGAACAATACAGTGAACAGACTGTTTCATGGGCAGATGGGTATGTCTTTCTCAAGGAGGATACTTAAAAGTTTGAAGAAAGCCCATTTGTTTTTCCCTCACCAGTTGCTGTAAGCTGTGGCTTTTAACCAGTAGCTAAAGACTTTGCAGTTAGTGTACCTTATGTAAAAAGAACCAGTAGATGAGAGATTAAAGAACAGACAATCAAAAGGATCATCTTGGTGAATTCTGTGTACTTGGGTAATTACCCTATATCCCCAGTTATTTTTCCCCTCTCCACGTATAACATCAATTTTTTTCCTATCTGTATGAGTATTGGATTTTGAATTTCATCAAGCAGTTATGTAAGCAGTGTGTAGCTGTTCACCTGTGAATGGAAATTTATTTATTTCTAATAGTTCCTGTTAAGTACAGAGACTTGGTCCATGTTAACCCAGGTCTATCCAACAGGTAAATTGGGTACATTGCATTCTTTGATAAAATGTTTAACTTCTATGACAACTCCAAGAATAGCAGGGCTTCGTTTCCAGTGCACTATGTCATATTATTAATAGAGTTCAAATTTTGCTATCTGCCATGGTCGGATTTGAGCCCTGTACCTATAGCATTAAATTGGGCTTCTGGATGACTTGTATAGCAACATTACCACTGCCACTGCTTCCTCTTTTATTTATCCTACAGGTTTTATCCTCAAAAAAACTGAAATGTGTTTGTCAAGCAGGACTTCCCTTTCAAAGAAATGCGCATCAATTTAAAAATAAATCGGTGTATCTTTTGGAGTGCATTGCAAAGAATACCCACACTATAGATTTGAATGCTTTCCCAATCACTGAAGCCATATTGACTTGTCACTGATCATTTTCACTGTCCTTCCTGGATTAGCAGTAATACATTCAATAACTTTCGATGTGCTGAGATTCTTCTAGAATCTAGGGAATTTTGTAAAATTGTTGCCGGTATATTCAGTATCTCTGCAGCTGTCTTTTAGAACACTAGGATGTTGTGTCCTGAAAATATGTCAAATTTTAGCCCCTTCAATTTCTCTAGTAATCTTTTTCTTCCCATCTCTTACCTTTTTATTTTATTATTCTTAGCCCTAGACCATTAAGTTACACTCTTTCCACGATATAGCTTCTGTCAATACTGTGGAGACAGAAAAAAAGTGCTTTCTCAATAGTTCTGCCATTTCCTTATTCACAATGTTTTCTCTTTCTAAACTACTGATGCTTACTTTAGCTATTCTCTTTCTTTTAATGTAGTGTTTTTCCATTCCTTACTAGTTGTATTTCATTTTTTTACCTCTTTTTAATCAGTCTTTGGTTTTTAAACAATTTCAATCCTCAAGCCTCAAGTTTGAGAATGTTAGGATGGAAAAAGGCACCCCATTCACACATTTAATTTGATTTTAGAGCCAGTTCATTGTTGAGTCAAGGTTATGAACCTAACTGGGGAGATTCAAATGTGGAATAACTGAAGTGGTGAACAAGGGAATGTCTCTAAATGTTACTCATGAAGTTTCAAAGTAGAGATAGTGAATATTGTAATTAGTAACAACTGAGATGCTACAGATATCTCTACTTGAAGGCAATGTGGAGGACAGTAGGAAAAAAAAGTTCAATCTAATTGGATAATAGGTATCAGAGTGGTTGCAGACCAGCTATGATGTGATTATGATGTACCATGATGGGAGATCCCCTGGTAGGAATTAGGGTTAGGGTTTGTGATGGAGTTGGAGTTCGGGTTCGGCTTGGGGTTATGGATAGAGTTTCGGTTAGGGTTAGGTTTGGGGTTCAGGTTAGTCAGGGTTAGCGTTAGGGATAGGGTTAGCGTTAGGGATAGGGTTAGCGTTAGGGATAGAAACAAACAGAGGAGGGGGGAGGATTGATAGATGGTATCAATGGGCAAAGCTGAGGCAAATTGTTTTCAATATAGGCAATTGTGAAATTGTCTATTTTCAGAATTTGGTACATCAGGGTACTTTCTATATACCTTAAAAAATAGGCTTTGAACTATGCACAGCTAAGGTAACGCATTTATAAAGTTATGGACATAGTCAACGAATTGGGGTGAGAATGTTCAGGGGAGATAATCGGGAAGCCTTTCTGCAGAGTTGGGGCCTCAGATCAACTATGATCTCATTGAGTCATGGAACAGGCTCAAGGGGCTGAATGGCCTATTCCAGTAGCTTTGTAGAAAGTCATTATTTTTTAAGAAAAGCTAATTGAAGCTGGTTTTCA